GTATCATCTTTTCTATCCATGTTCTAATAATATTCCAATAAGTTTTAGCTTCTACACACGTCCACCACATATGGTAGAAGGAACCTGGTATCTGATGACATTTCCAACATTTCATAGACCTGTCCTTAAACATTTTAGCTAATCTTTCTGGAGACATGTGCCATCTGTAAAACATTTTGTACATATTTTCTTTATACGCTAGGAAACTCCTTGATGCTATGTCAGAACCTTGGTTGATGTAGCCTGTAATCTCTTCTAAGCTGCAACAGCTTTTTTTAGGGCAGTATCCACTTAACTGGAAATGCCAGAAAGTGGCCTTAAAGGCCACCTGGATGGATGGCATACATTTTACCAAGGAGTTATGATTCTTCTCCAAATGTCCTCCTCCATAAAAGGTTGTGGGGCTTAGTCTTCAAGGTTCTTACCGTCTTCTCTTGGCCCTGGTGCAACAATCTTTGTCCTAGAAGGAACCTGCACAGGAGGCCGAGAGATCTCCTGATTGTCAAGCATGTTTTGGGCAGCTCTGTAAACAAAAAACATAGAGTCTGAGATCCAAAGGGAAAGACTGATATCCAGTGGATAACGCAACCTCCTTCCATCTTACACATGACCTGTGTAACTTCCAGGCTGGGGGTAGGCAATATTTTGTTGGCTGAGGATCAAGAATGTTGAAGGAACCTCAGGGACATAGTGAATGGGGCAATACTGCAACTTGGGTAAGACTATGTAAGTAGAGATGGGATCTTTTTCCCTCTAGAATAGGGGTCTCCAAACTTGGCAACTTTAAGACTTGACCTGTATAGCTTCCCATGGTTGAATCCCATAGCCTAGCTGGCTGGGGAATTTTGGGAGTTGAAGTTCACAAATCTTAAAATTGAAGTCCACAAGTCTTAAAGCTGTGTCTTAAACTTGAAGTCTGCAAGTCTTAAAGCTATGCTGGCTGGGGAATTTTGGGAGTTGAAGTCTACAAGTCATAAAGTTGCCAAGTTTGAAGACACCTGCTTTAGAGCTTGAGGGTGAGGATCTTTGTGTTTTATGTATTGTATTGTATGTGGGGATCAAGCTTTTCCTGGTCAAAACAATGAGAAAGAAATACATGGTTTGGGGGGGAAATGCTCAAAAGCAATATGGGGTCATATTCAACCCCAGAGAGACAAGTTGGCTTCTGATTTATATAACATTCCACACCATTCAGTCAGCAACATAAGAATCTATAATAGGTCTCTATAGACAACCCATGACCGATTAACAGAATAACAGAGTTGGAAGGGACCTTGGAGGTCTTCTAGTCCAACCCCCTGCTCAAGCAGGAAACACTGTACCATTTCAGACAAATAGACATCCAATCTCTTCTTAAAAACCTCCAGTGTTGGAGCATCCACAGCTTCTGAAGGCAAGTCGTTCCACTGATTAATTGTTCTCACTGTCAGGAAATTTCTCCTTATTTCTAAGTTTCCATCTTCCCTCCTGTAATCCCAGGAAGGTTTTTTTTTTCAAATCAAAGTATTGCTATGTATTCTATAGCAGCCTGCCAGTCAGAAATATGGTACATGAAGCTTTTGTTGGCATGACGCTAGCGTGATAAAATAACCTCTCAAAATCTGCATAGCAAGCTGCTGTGGAAAGAAAAATGGCAAGGCTAGTCCAGATACAGATAATCCTCGACTTACAACATTCGTTTAGCGACCATTTGAAGTGCCAATGGCACTTTAAAAAGTGACATGACCGATCCTCACATTTACAACCATCGCCGCACCCCCAAGGTCACATGATCAAAAATTCAGGTGGTGGCAACTAGCATGTATTTGTGACAATTGCAGTGTCCAGGGTCACCACTTGTGACCTTCACAGCTGGCTTCCAACAAGCAAAGTCAATGGGAGAAGCCAGATTCACTTAAGGACCGAATGATTCACTGAACAACTGCAGTGATTTGCTTAACAACTGTGGCAAAAAAGGTCATAAAATTGGGCATAGCTCATTTAACATCTGCCTTGCTGAGCAATGGAAATTTTGGTTCCAGTTGTGATTGTAAGTCGAGAACTACCTATAACTAAGCAATCCTACTTTCTCTCCGAGTCCAAATTGTATGGTGGAGATGGTTGGGGGAGGGTGAACTTGTAATGATGATGTGATTACAGAGAGAAATCTACACTGGAAAAGCAGCTGGTAAGGAAGAAGTTATGGGCTTTCACCCAGCACACAGCTCTGCTGGGAATCAACTTTTCTTACAGCAATGGCTGGCTCAGGAATTCTGGGAGTTGAAGTCCACAGGTCATAAAGAGGCCATAGTTCCCCACCCCTGTTTTTGATAAAGAAACTCTCAGATGTGACTTCTTGTTTATGAGTAATGTGACCTTTGGCCCTTTGAAGCTGTCCTATCACAGCCATGGGTCTTAGGCTGTGCATGTACCTTAAGGCTTCCGCCCGTTGGGTATTTCCTCCTGTGTTGAAGTCCAGCAGGGCACTACTGATGTCTTGCTGGATCCATTCCGCCTGCCAAGCAAAGGAGAAACCAGATCAAATTTTTGTTGAGAACTCTTCCCTTGTCCCAAATCCCCATGTTGTAGATCAGGGCTGGGCAAGCTCAGGATTCTGGACTGCTTATGGGCACCATGTTATAATGCTTAGACCCTTCAAAACACAGTGGTCAAACATCAGAAGTAGAATTTCCTCTTTTAAAAGGGGGAAAGTTAAAGGGGGGGAAGAGAATTCCAGCACCTCACCTGTGTATGGCATGGCCCCACCATCTATGAACTTTGTCTTTCCTTTAAAATGTTAATTTCATTCCCCAGCCACTGAATAGTTGCCATCCCCGTGTCAAGTAAATTTTATACAGTGAGTAGAATGGAGTAATTACATAGGATCATTCTCTAAATATTATTTGTGGATTGATAGGCTCAATTCTTTTACCCTAATTTGATCACACTCAAAGAAGTGGATATCCGGTCCGAGCTGAGTAGGTTCCTGGCACATGAGTAGAAGCAAGGATCGGGACCGAGACTCAGGGCAGACAGCATCACAATAAGCCACAGTTGCCAATGCATAATTCTCCAGTTCCTCCTAGTGGGGGAAAGAAAGACAATCAAGGACATCCATCTAACATGGACTCTTTCCAAAGAAGAGGAATTGGGACACAGGTAACACCCATCTCTCCCCCAAATCTTCATTAGCCACCCAACATTGCTGCTCTTGGTAAGTTTCTGCACCTTTGAGTTTATGTCAAGGAGCTTGATAGCCGACCCGCTGACTTGGAGCAACATCTCCTGAACCCAGACCTTCCCTTGCTTATCCATGATGCACAGTTTCCTGACGGCATCTTCCACACATGTCAAATCATCCTCTTCCCCAATGGAGAAGGTCACCAGGTGCTGGAGTATATAGACAAGAGAGAGACACAAGCAGATTCATTATATGACATTAATGTTGTTACTCATCTATTTTTATGTGTTTCCATATGCCACAGGCTGTCAACTCTACAAATGAGCATGGCTGCAGCCATTTTTTCTACTCATTTTTGGTTGCCACATAGAATGGTGGGAGGGGGGGTTGCCCTGTGCTTCACTAGTCTAAATAATCTTTTGTCCCGTGGGAACCAAGGTCATCGGCTGCTCCTGAGACTGCAGGCTGGGCGTTGCATAAAAAGCCCACCAAGAAGATGTAGTTGCTTGCATAGTTTTAGGGGTGGGATTTTTTAACTTTGTATTGGAGAATTATTAGGTGTGTCTCCAGACTTGGTTTCACTTTTGATGTGCCGATACTTTGTAACTAATAAACATGTTCTTTGAGGAATTTGCAAGCCTTGGAGTTCTGTTTTATTCATCTCTGTCTTTTGGAACCATGACACAGGCCACCTCAACATCTCACCGAGACCAAGATGTAGGTAATAGTGCTGTAAAATGCTTTGGGTTCTCTCTCCAGAAGGTGCACATGGAAGTGCAAATGTGTAGCAGTGATTTGAAATGCCTTAATGCAGCCTTTTGCTCTGAAAAGTTAGCCCGTTTATAGTATTGGAGACAGATACAACGTCCTGATCCCATGTTCTCCAAACTACATGTTGAAGATTGAAGCATGAACAGCCTTAGAGGATGCTGGCTAAATGGCATCGTGGTAATTAATCTGGTTTCTAATGTGTTCCTGCACATCTGACTCCAATCGTATTTTATTTTAGACCTGTTCAGGTCTTCCAGTATCATTAACTTCTCTCCTGGGTAATTTTCTTCCTCCTTTCATTTTTCTTCCCCTTTCCTCCTACAACACACTATGATTCTGTTGTTTTGTGCTCTGTTGTGCTTATTCATCAGTTTAGCCTTATGGCCTAGATCAGGGGTAGGCAACCTTGGCTCTTTTATGACTCGTGGACTTCAACTCCCAGAATTCCTGAGCCAGCCATGCTGAGGCTGAAGTCCACGAGTCATAAAAGAGCCAAGGTTGCCTACCCCTGGCCTAGATTTTATATTGACATAAAGAGAAGGAAGTATCAGGCTTTCAGGATCTAATTTCAATATAGCAGAGGAGTAAGTTATGTAGGCAATAGTAAATTCATTCTTGAGTGAGTGGGCGGTCCCACAAACCTTGAAGGAGGCAGTGGCACATCCCCTCCTCAGGAAGCCATCCTCGGACTCAGCAGCATTAGAAAATTATCAACTGATCTCCTTTTTCCTGGGAAAAATTGTGTAAAAGTTGGTGAGCTGCAATTCCAGTCTAGAGAAAGTGAATTATTTGGATCATTTTCATTGGTTTCAGGAAGAGATATCCGTTGACGTGACAATGGTCATGTTTGTAAATGAATTTTGATGGAACCAGGATAGGGATGGTATGATTTTCTTGATCCCACTTGATCTCTCAGTGATTTTGGGGGGTTGGTGGGTATTGCACTGCATCAGTTCTCCTTTCTTCAGAATGGGTTCCAGCAGGCACTATCAGGAGGGGCTGAGGCTGAGACCCTTACTTTGTAGGGTTCCTCAAAACTTGACTCTCTTGCTACTTGTATTCAACATCTATATGAGGTTGTTAGTCAAGACCATCCAGTGATGTGGGGTCAGGTGTCATCAATATGTGGACGATTTCCAGTTGTATATCTCAACTCCTAAGTGAACAGGTGGTGCCCAAAAGATCTTGTCCTGGTGCATAGAGGCTGTTAGAGTCTGGATGGGGGAAGCAGGTCAGGTTCAACCTAGCAAGGGCTGGGAGATTGTGGATTCAAGGGCATTTCAGTTCCAAGGATCTTCCTACTTCAGTTATTGATAAGGTTGCATCTCCTTAAGTGGAACTCATGTATATTTTGTGGGACCTTCTCGAATTATAGGAAGAAGTGGTAGCCAGGAGAGTTTGCACAGATTCATCTTGACCAGAAGTCCCTCCTCACAGTCACTCATGCTTTAGTCGCCTCTTGTTTAAATCAGGGGTCCCCAACCTTGGCAACTTTAAGACCTGTGGACTTCAACTCCCAGAATTCCGCAGCCAGCCATGCTGGCTGGGGAATTCTGGGAGTTGAAGTCCACAGGTTTTAAAGTTGCCAAGGTTGGGGACCCCTGGTTTAAATGACTACAATGCATCCTACATAGGACTGCACTTGAAGATTGCTTGGAAGCTATACAGTAAGGACCTCATTTTATCCATGGGATCCCTCTGTTTCATGTAATTTTGTTGCCATCATTTTATTTTAAATCTTACCTTACCCTTATGGATCTGTAGTAAATTAGTAGGGTTAAAACCTGAAATTATTTTTTTATTCATATTCCTCCAGAGGAAAAGGATTTCTTATGAAGGAGATGAATAGGTGGAATATAAAATAAGCAATCCAGAAGGATTTTTTTTTAAATAGTGGCAATTAAAGGGGAAATAATAAGTTAGCCCTGATTAATTTCTTACTGGATATTACCCAGACATCTCAATACACATAAAAATTATTCTGGAGGAATTCTAGCAGAGCTATGTTAACCAAGAAATAGATGACTTACCATACTTTAATTCCTAAAGCTTCTAAATCCCAATTCTGTCATACTTCGCCACACTTTAACCCAATCTAAACTCCAAAATAAGAACAAAAAAATACCTACATTGACAGCATACTGGGAGACATCTGCCACAATGAAGTTGGAATACTTCTTCCTCTGTTCTGTAGAAATATTTTTTTTAAAAAAAATTATTCCTCGTACAGGATGGACGCAACTGAAATACTGGCTTGAGACACAAAAGAAGCATAGAAATGTTAGATTCATTTTTGTCTCATTTTAATGAAGATGTGAACGTGTTTAAAGAGCACTGAAGATTACATATAAACTCTTTCTCTTTGGATAAGGAAGGTCATCCTCTGGGAATGCTTGCAATCCAACCTGGAGCAGCAGAAGCAGGCTGAGTGAATGGGAGAGTGGTCCCCATCTGCACTTTTTCTCCATGCAGTGTTCTTTTGAAAAGATAAAATACACAGAATAATGGAACCATGTCTTTTTAAAAAAATATATTTTCCCTTAATCTTCAAGAGGGGTGGAGGGATCTGAGTTGGTTAAGTGTTTGACAAGCAGAATAGAAATATGCATGAACATAAACAATGGTTTGTTTACATAGACCCCAAAGCTACATTGTGGCTTCTTTATATTTGGCTCAGCATATATCCACTTATTATAGCTTAGAATTATGTGCAGACCATGTTACTATAGTGTCTTCCAAAAATCACTTGTTTGTGAGCCATAGGCAGCGTCAGCTGATTTAGTGTTTCCCAGATATAACCATAACTGCTGGGCTCGATGGAATTTATAGCCTAACACAGGGGTAGGCAACCCAAAACACTCAAAGAGCCACTTGGACCCGTTTCCCACCGAAAACAAAACACTGGGAGCCCCTTTTGATATCTAAAATGAAGATAACACTGCATATATCCTTTTTTACCTTTAATATATATATATATATATATATATATATATATATATATATATATATAT